GCAGCCTGTGGATTTTGGACTTTTGTGACCACACGAATAGGTACATTCTTTTTTCTTCGCACGTTAGATTTCTTTGACGAGCCGTTAGCCCGACAGAATTTTACATCCTACGTCAGGCACGGCGTTATCAGTTTGGTCCCAACACTCGGGCGAGTGGAGTCTTTGGGTGTGGACATTTGGTCTTTTTCCGTTCAGTACAATTGTGGTGGTCAGATTTTGAGCTCACTCGTGTGCCGTAGGATCTAGTTTTGTCAGACATTAAGGTTTAGCCAGCCAATGGGCTGTTGCTGTTGTGGTGTACCTCAACGCGGTGACGACGACACTAAGGGTTACATGAGGATGTACATGGCTGGCCAGCCTGTGTATGGTTGCTCTTTTGGTGTACCTCAGCGCGGTGACGACGACACTAAGGGTTAACCGAGGATGTACATGGAAGGCCATCCTCTGGATAGTTGCTGTTGTGGTGTACCTCAGCACGGTGACGACAACACTGAGGGTTAACCGAGGATGTACATGGATGGCCAGCCTAGGGATGGTTGCTGTTGTGGTGTACCTCAGCGCGGTGACGACGACACTGAGGGTTAACAGATGATGTACAGTGAACAATGTTCTCTTCACTGCGCATTCTTTTAACCAAGGGTTGTGATTTTTAGCTGTACGTTTGGCAAGCATACTCATGTTCCTAATGAGTTTTGAAAACCTTTTTCACCCAAGCGTTTGGGGGCGGGCTGATGAGAGCCACAAGGACACATCACCTCTGGGGGCCGCCAAACTCCGAGATCCCCTGACAGCTCTGTTAATGCTCATTTGAGACATTATCCGTGGCACACGACGAGGACGTGCTGCAAGGGTCTTGCGTGAGGTTCCGTAAAACCAGAACAGTGAAGGACTGGCGCCCGAGTGACGTACGGAATATCTCCTTATACACATCCTGTTGGACTTAACTTCCCCTCACGCCTGTGACATAAATCACACACAAACATAAAACACACACACACACACATACATAAATGGACAAACATGCACACACACATCCCATACATACACACCTATACATGCATCCATGCATACACACCTATACATGCATCCATGCATACACACATATACAATCACATGTACAGACACCAATATATGCCCACAACCACACATTTACATTCACATGAATATATACACCCACACACATGCATACATGCATACATACACACACACATACATGCATACATACACACATTTATACATACACTCACATCTTTACACACATACATACATACCTAAATACATACACATACACCCACGTACTTACACAGCTAAATATGCATACATACATCCACCAATATACGCACGCACGCACGCAACCCCCCCAACACACACACACATACACGCACGCACGCACACACACACACACACATTAAATACATACATACGCATGCATGCAAACACACATATACAATCACCCATACAGATACCCACATGCATACCTGCATTCATACATACTTTATATATACACACACCCACAGTCACACATAACTCATATACTATCACACATATTTACATCATCATCATGTAGCAGGTCCTTTGCAGAACGTCGCTCTCATCACAGTCTGCCTGTAAGAAACTCAGTCTCTTGCCAGTTCTCCCGCCTCATGAACTTTCACACTCAAAAAGTATGTACATGTGTGTGTGTGAGTGTGTAGGATTGTGTTCACATGATGTGTGTATGCATCCTTTCTCGAAAGCTGAAATATTTTGGTCATATCAAGCGCCACGACGGATTGGAAAAAATTATAGCAGAAGGTATGGTACCAGGCAGAAGGGACAGGGGCCGACCGACACGAAGATGGGCACAGGATATAAGTGACTTCTTTCATCTTTCTATAGCATTTCAGCTCAAAAGCCCCTATTCTCTTTCTTAAGGACTGAGAGATAGTCCACGACTCACATCCGTATGTAGCCACAGGGAAGATGCATGCTCTCAAAATTCTAATTTTTATCTCCTTCCTGGTGCTTAACTTACAACATACATACATACAAATACTTTCATATATCCACATACACACACACACACACACCCACACACATACACACATGCATACTTGCATACATTTATAAATACACAAACACCCACATATCTGCACAGCTACATATACCTACACACACCCACATACATACATAAATACACACACACATACAGTCACATACTTACACAGCTACATTTACATACATACATTCTCATACATACAGACATACATAATACATACATACAGGCACCTGCATACATATACGCACACATACATACATTCACATGTATACATACATACATACATAGGCTACATCTACATGCATACATAATACAAACATACATCCATACATACATCAACATACATACATACATACATACACACATATACAAACATAAAACACACACACCTACTTACATAGACATACATGCACACACATACATGCATACATACACACATCCATACATACATACATAATTACACACATTCATACATACTTGCAAACACATCTAAATACACACAGCTATATATACATACATACATCCACCAACATGCATACATACACACATACATGCATACATACGCACACATAACATACATACACACAAGAATGACAGGAGCGAAGAGATTGACATGAAGGAGTTAATGACAGGTAGCGCATAATAGGAGTGACAAGATGGAAGTGACTTGAGGGGAGTGGGTTGAAGGCATGACCTGAGCAGAGTAATGGGTTAATTCACAAGTATTTCACAGACAATCTGCTGTTATTTCATCCCCAGGATAAACGAACATTAGAGAGGAAATTCTCAGAGATGGAGGAAGAGCTCAAGGTAAGTTTTGATCTCGTAGCTGTTTTCTCCTGGTCATTGTTGGAGGGTGTAAAAGGGTGGGGGGGGGGGGGGGTGCACTGGAATATCAGTGTAATTGATTCAAAATACTGAGTAACGAGATCTGTGGATACACATTAGCACCCACACCACTGAACAGGGCACATGATGATGTTGATCTTCTTTGATCCTTCTGTCAGAAAACATACACTTGAGTCTGGATAAGTAGAAGTCGCAGGGACCTAAGAAAATGCTTTCACTTATCAGGATTTCTACTTATCCAGACAGCACACACAATAGAGAACATTGCCGGGACTAAGCTGATCATGTCGACTTAACTGAAATTTGACTTATTCGAGTTCGACTTAAGTGGACTCCACTGTATCAGGAGGCCGGTAGCCTTTATGAAAGCTATCTTGGAATCCATATCTTTTCATGTATCATACAGTTTTATCTTCATTGTGGTTGGTTGGAACAGGCAAGATTGCATCTCTGTTGTCAGCATACAGTTGACAGTGTTGGAGCACATGCTCAGCATTTATGGGTGCCAAGTTTCAGAGTCACATCTCCGTGTTTTCTACACCGAAAAGTTTGAACATATGTTGATAAAGTCTGTTGTGCCCTGTCCTTAGTCTGAACATAATACACTGTGCATCTCTAGAGAGGCGATCAAGTGAATCTTGAGTAGAGAATTTGGTGTGTGTATCCAGCCACCTTTCTTGGATACTAGTATTATTGTCTTAGTCTCTTTGTGGGTTAAGTCACTATTTAGTTGAAAAATGTCACTGCTGCTTCTAGCCAAGCTTCCGCTATTTTATTGCCTTCCAAGCCACAGTGACCTGGAATCCACTGTATTACAGATTGTTCTGCTGAAGAACCTAGGTGAATCAGCCGTGGCATCAAGTTTACAGAGTGTCTTTTGGGTTAACAATTGCTAGTAGAACTGACATAGCATCATTCTGCTATATTTGCTGTGATGTTGTCCATTCAGGAAAGAACATGCCACCAGAAGTGCATCTGCCTCTGCTCTGCTATTGAAGGAATCTGGACCTGTTGTCTCCTGTTGATGATGATGATATTGATCATGTGAGAAGTCAAAGGTGCTGGACTGGAATCCATCCATGATATTGAAACAGTTGCACAGGATAGAATGGAATGGATGAATAGACTGTGTGCCCTATGTGATGAATAACAGGACAGAAGGGCGATGGTGATGTTGACACGGCTGGTTGATGAAAATGAGAATGGCGCTAATCTGACTACATGACCTGGGAGTAAAGTCTGGCCAGGCACATCAAGACTGTCTGCAAGATCACGATAGAAGACAGTTTAACCACAATAACAGTGAATAGAGATATTTTGCTGCAGTATTGAAAGGCAAAACACAGGAATGCCCAGTGTGCAGTGATGCTGGTTTTGATAGCAGCAGTAACAACATACTTGTGGACAGCTAGCACTATTTAAAGCTTATAATTGACTGTGTTTCTCTGCAGAAATTAGAGACCCTGAAAGCAGAAAATCAAAGACTGAAAGATGAAAATGGGGCCTTGATTCGTGTGATCAGCAAGCTGTCAAAGTAGTGCCTGCAGCTGGCATGTGCTTGTGTGTTTACAGAGTGATCAACATTTATTGGCAACCCTTTTGCCCCCGGGGGAGCCAGGCATCTGACACACCCGGAAGTGGTTTGATCTCGTAAGTGCTGCTTACCCATCACTTCTACAGTGGCATGTCCCTGAGAAGCCTAGTTAATGCCATCTGTTGTTTTTGAGAGGTTTTCTTGTGAACATAATGGCTATTTTAAAGCTATTTTGATGTCATAATTTACTTGTAACCTTAATGTTAGAATTTTGAAGAGGTCACGTTATGGGTCACACAAAACATTTTTTTAAGGCTCAAGGGAATAAAATCCAGTGAGTTCTTTTTTCTGTTCAGGTTTATTGATTAGCATTTTGTAACAGGGGGTTTATTTGGGGTATTTCCTTCAAAGTTGCAGTGCCTCTTCCTGAGAGATGAGAGACCAACCTATATAAATCTACAGATAGAATTTGGATCAAGTCGTAGAGTCCTGAAGTGGGACACACAACCAGAACTTTTCCTTAGAGTTTACGACAGGTGAAAACTAAGGAAAAGAAGATTTTCAGAAAATTTAGTATATATGTATGTGTGTATTACACACTCACACATACATATAAATGTACGTGTGTGTAAAATAGTTTTTGTTTGTTTTTTCAAAGGCTTTTTCTCCGTGGTATTTCTGAATTCAGACCTTTTTCATGGGCATTTCCAGGTGAAAGGGTTAAAGGTTATGAGAGACAGAGAGAGGGAGGCGAGTGCTGTTTTCTACTCATATTTTTTTCACATTCCCTCCAGTGTTTGCTTGCCTGTGTATGTTTCACCTGTAGGAAAGAAAATTACTCAGTTCCTGCCATTGGTGTCCCAGTCATATACTGCTAGATCTATAGACCTGTAGATGTGGTCAACATCAGGTCATATACTGCTAGATCTATAGACCTGTAGATGTGCTCAAATCAGGTCATATACTGCTAGATCTGTAGACCAGTAGATGTGGTCAACATCAGGTCATATAGAGCTAGATCTGTAGACCAGTAGATGTGGTCATCATCAGGTCATATAGTGCTAGATCTGTAGACCAGTAGATGTGGTCAACATCAGGTCATATACTGGTAGATCTGTAGACCAGTAGATGTGGTCAACATCAGGTCATATAGAGCTAGATCTGTAGACCAGTAGATGTGGTCATCATCAGGTCATATAGTGCTAGATCTGTAGACCAGTAGATGTAGTCAACATCAGGTCATATAGTGCTAGATCTATAGACCTGTAGATGTGGTCAACATCAGGTCATATACTGCTAGATCTGTAGACCAGTAGATGTGGTCAACATCAGGTCATATAGTGCTAGATCTATAGACCTGTAGATGTGGTCAACATCAGGTCATATAGAGCTAGATCTGTAGACCAGTAGATGTGGTCAACATCAGGTCATATAGTGCTAGATCTGTAGACCAGTAGATGTGGTCAACATCAGGTCATATAGTGCTAGATCTGTAGACCAGTAGATGTAGTCAACATCAGGTCATATAGTGCTAGATCTGTAGACCAATAGATGTGGTCAGCATTGGGTCAGCTGTTCTTTACCTCCCCGGACATCTCCTGGTACCCATTTTAGGAAGGGTCGGCATAGATGAGGGAGGGGGAATAGAGGGGTCAATTTTCAGAATACTCCTCAGTTCAGACTTGAACTCATGACCTTCTGGCGGCAGGTAAGTGACTTGCCACTAGGCTTCCAGAGTTCCTGAATGTGCCACCTGGCTGTACACCAATGGATGGTTTGTGAGCTTGGCACCTGTAAGGTTGTCAGCTCTGTGCTGTACTTAAAATATACCATCATGCTTTCTGTTCCTGCAGCATATGTCTACAACTGTTGACTGTACATTACTCAGTTGATATTTATTATATCATGTGTACATGAGGATCATTTATTCTCTCATGTGTACATGAAGGGCCATTTATTATCTAATGTGTACATAAAGATCATTTATTGTCTTGTGTGTACATGAGGTTCATATATTCTTATGTGTACACAAGGATGTCTGTCATATACGACACCTGTGTTGATATACTTCTGTGTTTAATTTATGTCAGTCACTTACAACATGTGTGTTATTTACACATGACATCTTTGTGTAAGTAAAGTAGGCCCTTGGCATGTGGTATCTGTGTAATTTATGCCAACCACACATGATGTCTGTATAAGCATTTCAGTCACAGATTGTCCCACTGTAAGGCCTATCAAGAACACCTGTCATATCCTATCCTTCAAAAAACATGTTGACCATGTTATAACAAAAAGCACGCAAAGGCTCGTCAGCAATGAGGGTCCTGGCCGCATAAAGTTTCTCCACCAATCATGACATCTGTATATATATGATATGTCTGTCATATACGACACCTGTGTTGATATACTTCTGTGTTTAATTTATGTCAGTCACTTACAACATGTGTGTTATTTACACATGACATCTTTGTGTAAGTAAAGTAGGCCCTTGGCATGTGGTATCTGTGTAATTTATGCCAACCACACATGATGTCTGTATAAGCATTTCAGTCACAGATTGTCCCACTGTAAGGCCTATCAAGAACACCTGTCATATCCTATCCTTCAAAAAACATGTTGACCATGTTATAACAAAAAGCACGCAAAGGCTCGTCAGCAATGAGGGTCCTGGCCGCCACTAACACTGAGCAGAGACTGCTTCTGCTTCTGTTCCCATCAAATGTGCTCTTGCCATCCTCACTGTCAGCCGTACTGAGATTGAAAGACTTGAGAAGATGCAAAACGAAGCAATGCACATTATTCTAGGGTGCACTGAAGACACCTCTTGTGTAGCAGTGAGGTACCTTTTTGACTTCCCTACCATGAACTACAGGATCAAGATCTGGAGGGCTCGTGCATACCTCAAGATAAGCTCAGATCTGAAGCACCCATTTACACCACATGCTCTTCAAGAAAAAGGGCATTAGGCTTAAAAGGGGCTGCGTAGGGCAGAGGATGACATCATGGAGGTTTACAGACTTCCGTCCAAGTGAGGAATGGATACCTGCGTCTAAAGCGCCCAATCTCACATTCTCCTTAGTCATGAGGCTCGAGTTGTCAGGAGCAGAATCCAGCTGCTGTCAACGCTGAGATATGTGTGCTTATCAGAGACAAGTCAGATGAGACAGATGTGGTGATCTTCACAGACGGGTCCGTTATACGAGGACATAAGAGTGCATGGTCATTTTCAGCTGGCTTGTCAGGCAGAACAGTTCAAGAAGCCAGTGGTGACTACCAGCAGCATGACAATGGAGGTGATGGTGGTGACACAAGCTTTCATCTGGCTAGAATCACAGGACTATTCCAGCAGGTGTGTGCTGAGTGATTCTTTGAGCATGATCCGGCTGGTCGAGGCAGGCTGGCTACGCAGACAGCGGTTTGAGTCTCCTGTGTGTGCAGTTACCTCCATATTTGTCCCAGGGAATGCGGGTGTTGTTGGTAAGGAAAGAGCTGACAGATTAGTAGGTGCTGCATTAATTGAAGATGGCCGACCCATGGATCACGCATTGTCATTGTCATTGCAATTAGAGATATAGGACGTTTTGAGCATTTTGGAAACAACGTGTCCACATTACTTCTAAGAATACGAGAATAGGGAGTAAATATCGGCACAGCCAACTTAAGAAGCACACCGAAAGCACGTGAAGTCTTGTTAACCAACATAGGGCTGGCACTATTAACCCCGTGACGCTGATGAATATGTTGAGAGGGGAATCTGAGCGCCTATGGATGTGTCTGGAGTGCTGTGAAGCTAATCTAACTCATAACTCATAACCTGTCATATATGAAATTTATGCCAACCACACATGATGTTGGTGGGTCACTCAGGAAATATGTTTAAGGTGTGTCAGTCATACCTGATTTATCAAACATAAGCCAACAAGATGTTGGCCATTTTGCCTTTATAAGCCAAAAAACTGATGCTTCCAGTTGAGTCCACTTCCTTGTCACATTTCTGAGACACATAGTTAATGCTATTGGCTGTTCTCACACGTGTGCAAATCTTTAGGAGGACAGGATATAAATACGTTACCCAAAAAATGTATTTTCTTTGAGGTAAATGGCTTTTTTAAAAGCCAAATTGACATTGTACTTCCCAAGCCTCATTTATAGAGGTCACGGGGTCATGGCATTAGCCATCCAACATATGTTTTCTTTAGACCCCTGGAAATGTATTCCATTTAAAGCTTCACCCTCTTCATTTTTATTGATTACTCCCTCCATATGTCTTTATATATTTAGAAAATAATATAGGTAGGTAACTTTTTAACGTATTTATTAGTGACCTGTAAAAAATTACTGTTTCTATTAAGGATTTTCATCTGAAATTCTAGCGGAGTCATGACCTATTTTTTTTTAATTGTTCCTGCAGCGAGAGGGTTAACAAATATTCAGTGACACTGTCTTTCTATAACTACCAACAGGATTATACATTGTGAGGTTTTGTAGATGCTTCCTTGTTCCGTTTTTCATTAGGCTGGCAGTCTGTCTCTCTGTCATCAAAGTGTAGCAGTCTTTCATGTCTTCTTCTTCTTCTTCTTCTTCCTAGCATTCACTGGCTGTAAACTCTGGCAGAAAGCTCTTGTTACTTCTGGTCTTTGGTCTTGTTCCAGAAATTGAGTTTTAAAAGCACATGGGTTTTACAGATCTGGCTCATCTATGCACTAATCTAATTTTCAGTTCCTTGCCTCTCAGTCAGATGCACCCTGACTTTGAAGGAAATACTCCTTTCTTCATTGTCACCTTTTATGATATCGAGATTGTGGGAATGCAATGGGGCTTCCCCCTAACTCCAGTGTGGGCCCCCAAAACCCTCACAATGAGCTTGTCAAATGACTCAGTAGAATGAACATTTGCAGAACATTGGCACTAGGCCGGCCAGTCATCTAAGTGCTGAATCCTTGTTTTGAAGAAAAAAAAAAACTGTTTGGACATTGAGATCTTTATAGTGTAGGTGTGTGAAAAGTAATGCTTAATTTGACCTGTTCAGAGTAGGAATACACATGTGTGCCTTTTGGCATTTTGTAAAGCAACTGCATCCCTGAAAACACACTCAAGTGAGAATTAGCTCTGTATATTGTTACTGTAGTTTTAGTTGGACATTACTGAGGTTACTTTGAGGTTGTCAGAACATTACTGCTGTTATTGTAAGTTGGCAGGACATTATTGTTGTTACTGTAATGTTGGTTAGAAATTATTGTTATTACAGTAAGTTTGATAGAACATTATTGTTGTTACTGTAGGTTTGGTAGGACATAATTGTTATTGTTACTGCAAAATTGACAGGACATTACTGTTGTTACTGTAAAGTTGGCAGGACACTGGTGCTTTTGTTGTAAAGTTGACAGGACATTACTGTTGTTACTGCAATGTTAAAAGGACAGTGTTGATGTTAACTTGTAAGATTGACAGATTGAACATGAACATTCTCCACATTGTGGGTTCCATTTGTTCTTATGACCAAGAATGTCACATAGCTCTAGGTTCCAGCACCTCTGGACTGTTATTGATTTTTGATATGTTGTTCCTGTTGTTGTCATTTGATGCTGTGTGTTTGCAGCCTGATGCTATCAGACCCAGATTCTAGGTGATTCTATGTGAATGTAGGCGAAGCTGTTTGTGGGTAGAAGATTTTGTGTGGGAGGTAGCTGTGTATGTTAGTGGAACTGTATTGTATATGTGATTAGGAGCTTTGTCTGTGGGCAGGAGGTGTGTATGTGGGTGAGGGTATGTTGCCTATGTGGAGGTGTGTTGTCTATGAGGGGGTGTATTGTGTATGTGGGGGCATGTTTATGTAGGGGGACTGTGTGTATGGGGGTGGAACTGGGTGTATGTGGCAGTGGGATGTGTGTGTGGCAGAGGGATGTGTATGTTGATGGGAGCTGTGCATGCAGGGTCTGTTGTATATGTGGGGGGTGTGGTGTGTGTTATGTGTTCTGCTTTAATTGACTGTCGTTTGATAGGGTCCACCACATGTCTTATCTCATACACTCATCGTACTGGAGTTGACTGTTGTTTGATAGGGAAGGTCTACCACATGTCTTGTCTGACACACTCATCGTACAGGAGTTGACTGTTGTTTGATAGGGAAGGTCTACCACATGTCTTGTCTGATACACTCATTGTACTGGGGTTGACTGTTGTTTGATAGGGTCCACCACATGTCTTGTCTGACACACTCATCATACTGGGGTTGACTGTTGTTTGATAGGGTCCACCACATGTCTTGTCTGACACACTCATCGTACTGGGGTTGACTGTTATTTGATAGGGTCCACCACATGTCTTGTCTGACACACTCATCATACTGGGGTTGACTGTTGTTTGATAGGGTCCACCACATGTCTTGTCTGACACAATCATTGTACTGGGGTTGACTGTTGTTTGATAGGGTCCACCACATGTCTTGTCTGACACACTCATCATACTGGGGTTGACTGTTGTTTGATAGGGTCCACCACATGTCTTGTCTGACACACTCATTGTACTGGGGTTGACTGTTGTTTGATAGGGTCCACCACATGTCTTGTCTGACACACTCATCATACTGGGGTTGACTGTTGTTTGATAGGGTCCACCACATGTCTTGTCTGACACAATCATTGTACTGGGGTTGACTGCTGTTAAATATGGTCTGCCACCTGTCTTATCTGATACACTCATCGTACTGGCGTTGACTGTTGTTTGCTAGGGTCCACCACATGTCTTGTCTGACACAATCATTGTACTGGGGTTGACTGTTGTTTGATAGGGTCCACCACATGTCTTGTCTGACACACTCATCGTACTGGCGTTGACTGTTGTTTGCTAGGGTCCACCATAGTTGACCACCACATGCCTTGTGTGTTTGAATGCTTTGGTCTACTGCTGCTGTTAATGTTATTGTGTGTCACTTGTAGCATAATGTTGATGAAAGGTTCTTGTACAAAACACATTGTTATATTATTATGTTCGAGGCCACTATACTTAGGCATTCTCATACCTGCTCAATCCTCCCATTGAGCAGCCATTCCAAGGTATCCCAAAATCTTGTTCTTGGCACCATGGCAAGGTCGGCCAAGTGTTAAATCTTTGTTTTGAGAATATCGCTTTTGAACATTGAGATCTCTGACAAATGTGTGTATGGAAATACAAAATAATACTTCATTTTGATTTATTTGGAGAAGGAATTCACATGTGTGCCCGTGGCTCGTTGTCAAGTGTCAAAAGTAGCGCTGACAATGCACTTGGGTGAAAACTGTCTGAATTTCACTTCTGTGACGTTGGCGTAGTACTAATGCAATTATATGGCAAGGTTCGCAGAGGTGTCACACCAGTTGTTTGACAGGATCGGTCCCCTGGAGTCTCCACATTGACAGTTGTTTGATTCCATGAGCCATGTATTTGTTGACAAACAGTAACCCACCATATATTTATATGTTGTTTATGTACTATTGTAGATTTATGAACACATGGTTTCTGACCACTCAGGATTTCCGCACAGCGTATATTAAAACTATTACATAATAAATAAGTTTATACCAATTTCCCCTTTTATATCCTGTTGTTTTGTACCGTTACCTTGTTGTGTACTGTTAACTTAATGTTGTATACTGTTAACTTGTCATGTACTGTTAACTTTGTGTTGTAAAATGTTACCTTGTTGTATACTGTTAACTTGTTGTATATTGTTACTTGTTGTATACTGTTTCCATGTTGTTTTGTACTGTTAACTTGTTATTGTTTAATGTTCCATTTTTATTGTGTACTGTTCCGTTATATACTGTTTCATTTCTTTGTTGCTGTGTACTGTTTACTTGTTGCTGTATGTTTCTTTTTTTTTTTAATTGTGTACTATTCTTTTGTTGTATACTGTACTATTTTTATGTATTGTTTTATTATATACTGTTCCCTTGTTGTATATTGTTCCTTTGTTGCTGTATACTGTTCCCTTGATGTTGTATATTAAACTCCAAGATCTTATGCACAAAATATCAACATATCAGTTATTGTTTATTGACTAAACAGTCAGAAGCACAAATTATGGAGCCGACAAACTTCTCTAGAGTGAAACATGCTATCATCCCTCAGTTTCTTCTTCCCCTTTTTACTCTTCTTTGCATTCACCAGGAATAAATTCCTCTGAAAAGTTCTGGTTGCTCACCCACTTGTAGACTTTAGGCTTGTTCCGGAACGTGAGTTTTGCATGCACATCCATTGTGCAGATCGAGCTGATCTGAAGGCAGACGACACGCTTCGTGCCTATCAGGCAGATGCACCCCCACTTTGAAGGCAACTAGTCTGTGATGGATATCTCACTCGTAAACAGTAGAGCAGCATTTAGAAAGTAATGCCACTCATATTTCAGCCAAAACTGAAGATAGAGAACCATGAAATTACACATGCTTCAAATTCAAAATGTCAATATAATGCATAAAAACTGGCAGCTTCTTCAGATTAAACAAATAACAGCTGGCATTAAAGTTGATAGCGAGGACTGTGTGCATTACAAACAGTGAATTTTTGTAAAATTTCTGGCTGTGGAAACAAAAAAATATTTGAAAACATTTGTATGCTGTGTATGGATGTTGTGCAGTCAATAGGAGTATTGATGGTCACTGAGTTCAGAGAGTTGAGGCTTCAGAAAGTGGCGAGATGGATCGGAGGATGTTTTTCATGCTGCGAAGAATTGTCTACATGAACAATAAAATCTGGATACAGGCAAAACGTACATGCATTAAGGTCATAGAAGTTGACGGGGAATTTATAGAAAATTATGCCGTGTAAAGAACATAAGGAGTTATAAGGTCAATTCTTTTCATACATTTTGCACGAAAAGTTTGCGCGGGGAGAAAATGCAGGGCATTACTTCCTTGTAGTTGTGATTATGCCCAAGTGTTTATCTCTCAGGTACAAATCTGAGACAAACATAGTTGTGGTTTTCTCTGTGTCTGAGTATTGGCGAACAGTTGTACACGGCTGGTACCCTAGTGGCTGGTCTCCACATCATGAGCTGGATGTCAGCTTTGACATGGCTCGGATAAGTGCCCGGTTCTCTTCTTGCAGCTGCATGTTATCCACATCTAGGTCATCACACTCCTGGAGAAGACATCAGGGCTGAAGTCAAATCATGTACAACTGGTGCTATAGGTCATGTCGTGTACAGCTGGTGCCATAGGTCATGTCGTGTACAGCTGATGCCATAGGTCATGTACAGCTTGTGCCATAGGTCATATTATGTACAGCTGGTGCCATAGGTCAAGGTCATTCATTAGTCAAGTCAACTACAACTAGTGCCATTGGTCGAGTCAGCTACAACTAGTGCCATCGGTAAAGTCATGTATAACAAGTGCCATCTTTCAAGTAGTATACAAGTGCCATAGGTAAAGTCGTGTTCAACTCGTGCCGTCATTCAAGTCGTGTGTAACAAGTGCCATCGGTCAAGTTGTGTACAACTAGTGCTATCACTCAGTCATGTACAGCTGGTGCTATCAGTCAAGTTGTGTACAACTTTTGCAATCAGTCATGTACAACTAGTGACAAAAGTCAAGTCATGTACAACTAGTGCCATCAGTCAAGTCATGTACAACTAGTGCCATCAGTCAGGACATGTATGTTCAGAGGTCTGTGTGGTCACAATACATGGCGTCTGCCTTGAGTGCTGGAGGTCCTGGGTTCAAACCCCAGTGAAGGTTGAGATTTTTTCACGTGGACTTCTAGTAATTTCTCCTGGTCTTTGGGTAGTAAGACCGGACTTTAAAAGTTCCCTTGGCAGTTGGAAACCGAAAAAAAAGAGTAACCTAACAGTGTTTCTTCTTCTTCTTTTCTTCCCCCTTGTACCTCATCGAAGTGTCGGGTGCTGCTTGGGCAAAGTTTAGAGTTTAAAATCTACAAAAGTATTTTAGGATCCTCGCCGGTTCCATGGAGTTCGTACACTGCGCTGAGATTCTTTGGACTCAGGCTTGAGTCAGAAGTAGAACGGAGCACTTGTGGGTTACTACCATTGTGCTATGATATTGATCCATTGTCTAAATCTAAACCTAACCATGTATAGATGTGCCATCAGTCAGGTCATGTATCCATGTGTCATCAGTCAGATCATGTATAAATGTCATCAGTCAGGTCAAGTAATGTGTGGATGTGTCATCAGTCAGGTCATGTAAAGATGTGTCATCAGTCAAGTGATGTATAGATGTGCCATCAGTCAGTTCGAGTCATGTATGTGTAGTGAAATAGGAAGGCGGACATAAGGGGTTAAATGAAGAAGGCATACATTTCAGAACAGCATCTAGGCACACCAATGGTTGGCATGACAGAAAACAGTGATTAGAAAGCTGGCCCAACCAGCGATACAGATAAAACCAAGTGCACTGTGACCGGTTGAATAGATACGTGACCACCAGAGACAGATGACAGGGGGTGATTGAGAACCCACGCGAGAAAGAGAGGACGCGGGGCTGAAGGTGAAGGGTAGAGGAGCGAGGAGAAGTCAGTTAGGACCTAGCAGTTTGAGAGAGCAGGGAAGGACAGTCAGGAGCCAGCTGCTGAAGAGAGGAGTTGAGAAAACAGTCGTGAGAAGATAGATGTTAAACTTGGAGTTTAGCTAAAACAGTGATTAAGGACTCATATAGAAACATACGAACAGATACAGCAATAAGATAATGAAGTGTTCCTATACTATTGGTTATTGAGATGATGCATTATGTTTGACTTGACAATATTGTTAATAAACAAACTCCTGTGTAATTATTACATCACTGGCCTTGTTCTTAAGTAGGATTCAAGAGAACTACGAACTGTATCCATACACCTTGGCCGCATTAGGCACATCCATACTAGGGGGATGTGAAGACACAACTGTGTCACAAGTGTGAGGATATTTGGTGCCGTGACCAGGATAGTCTTGTGTACATCGACATCTTTAAAAATCAAGACTGTTGGTACAACAAACAAAGCAAGACAGAACGAACTAAACGCACGTTGATGATTGTACCTGCCGAGAAGAAAAAAAAGTCGAAAAACCCTTCATAAGAATAGCGAGAAGTGAACCAGACCAACAGCCTGCACCGTTCTACGACTGGATCCAAACGAGATGAGCTTAATTCCAGTCTTCAACACGAACCGTCTACACTAGAATCCGGGAGACGAGCCCATTCTAGCCTGGATCTATATACTTTTAAAACTTTACACACTCGGAAGACAGTGTGAAAGTCAAGAACTGTGCGCTGCCCGATTCTAAAATTATAAGAAATGAGAGCTGTCCGATTCTAGGATTATACGAACTGAGAGCTGTCCGATTGTAGCATTATAAGAACTGCGAGCTGTCCGTTTATAGGATTATAAGAACTGTGAGCTGTCTGATTCTAGGAAAATAAGAACTGTGAGCTGTCTGATTATAAAACAAATAAGAACTGTGAGCTGTCCGATTCTACAAAAAGGAACTGCAAAATAAACGCAATTTTAAAGAACAGTGAACAATAACAGTAATTAGTAAAACATATTGTGGTTTTTAATTTACAGTGGTGTAGGGAAAAACCTTTCTATCTTTCCCTACCGTTCTTTCTAAACTTAGAAAATCATTCCAGGACAGTGCCGATTTTAATTACAGTGTTATCTACGTTGGGTTGTGAAAAAAAAATGAATTTTTTTTTTCTCTTCAAACAAGGTAATTTGACATCATTTTTTAAAATGTTTTAAAGTTTACATTAGTTAATTTCCCAGGTTTTTAAAATGGCCCATCAAAGAACAGTGGCAGCACAGTTTAGCAGAGTTTTTAATGAAGTAGCACAGTTAGGTAGAAAACTTCGTATTCCATTTTTTATAGAAAAAAAAACTGAGGTCACAAATACGGAATGAACGAGGGCACAATATAAATTTCAATAGAGCCAACAGGTTACGAAAGTTATAAAATAATAGAAATATCAGAGCACAGGAACGGTGGCAAAATGATGGTAACATATATCAGAACATGTATAGAGTAGTAAATATCCCTGAGAATAACCGAGGTCGTGTTTGGTCATGTAATCCAGATACCAGATTTCGCATGATAAGCACTAATCAAGATTACAGGGCTCAAGGTATGACGCATAATCAAGCTAACAGATTCAAAGGAGACAGGTTAAGCAAATTAGGATATAATAAGAATATAAGATTACAAAACTTAGGAAATAATCCGTTCAGTCACTGTGACAGATTGGGGAAGGCAGGTAACCAAAACATGTGCGCTGCTAATGATGAGACAAAGAGGTTAGAAGAAATGTTAAAAAACAGAGTGTTAGCTAAATACAGGTCCCAGTGGAAGATACCCTGAGAGAAAATTAGAAGGAAAGACGGTTCATATGAGCGGCGGAAAGATTTACAGGCATTAAGCAGTATTTCTAAAAACAGGTCGTACCCCTTACAAAGTAGTGAGCACAGGCTAGGAGGGTTAAAAGAGAGGAAGCCTATGAAACGGTTTAATAAAAGCTACATTAACGAGGTAAATGATGTAACTGTAAACGGGACACACGGTCAATACTTTAAAGAAGAAGGAAACATAGGGACACATAAGAAGTTAATACCGGTTAACGTTAAGTCGAAACAGATAAAGAGGGTTGTTTGGCAATGGATTGGGTATGGGAAGCAAACGCGGTAGAAGTGAACAGACTAGATAGCAATAGCACACATAGTAAAGTAGAGAGGGTAGGGACATTTAAAGAAACAAACCAGCAAGAATCGTCTTATACACAGGTGATGCCTACAAAAGAAGAAGGTGTAGGAATAAATACATTACCATTTGTAGTTAGTAACATAAAGGTAGATTTATTCTCAGAAAACTACGACGCAGATAATGAAGTTGGGATCACTAACAAAACGGGTCGTAGAATTTTAGTCGCTGTTAGAAAAAGGACGGAAACTCCGTCTACCGTGAAAGAAGTAAAACCGTCAGAAGTACCAGTTAAGGGCACTTGTAATCATAGAAGAGAAGAAGAAGACACAATAGAAACTTCGCCTAACAAAAGAGCAAAAGAGGAGACAAGAATGTCCGGAATTAAAAATTCGCATACCGATTTAAAGGAGCAGCATGTTTTACAGGAAAACATAGATGGTAGAAAAATTAATGTATTGGATGGAAATTCACGCGGAAATAAAAGTAGCCAGAAGTGTCGCAATGAAGTGGCATCTACCGAAGAAAGCAAAATTAATAAGTTGTTCCACTTTATTTCAGATCTCTGGAGCGTCTAATAAATGGCATACACGACACCTTTTAGTATAATTAAGGGAAACACATATTTATGAGTATAACTTGATTTACAAGAAAATATTTTAAATGCACACAGAAACAGGATCATACTGATATCTGGTTTATGCATATTGCTGGGACATAACTTTTCTTTATTTACGACGGAAAGGCATTAATTGTAAGAAAGTCACTAATCATTTAACAAAAGAAAAAACACAGATCACTAATAAGACAGAAGAAGAAATGGAACTAGAACAATTAGCATCCACTACAGTTAGAAGACCAGAATCATCAGGAGGTAGACTTAATTTATACCCTGAGTAAACCATACATTAATTAAAGTCCCCCCCCCCCCCCCCATGACTGACTGAAATGGGATCGCTCGTAAAATGATTCAATAAATGTGGGATTGTAGGGTGAATAACACGTAGTTAGTTATATTAGTTATAATTTACGTACGCTCTATTGCTGTGTACAGAGGTAACGCGCTCACTATACACATTCTGTTGTTGTGTCTGCATGTCATTTGTCCGAAAATATTAAATATATACCTGTTGTTTTGTCCTTACCATTTTATATTTACATTTTGTTTTGCCCTATGAACGTTTTATAATCGTGTTGTACTCTCCCGGGCAAGTGCAAATCCACACGTTCGGTTGTGGGTAGAGATTACAATACATACATAATAAATGTTTCCAAAAAGAGTTCCTGGCACAAAAAGCCTATTGTTAGACATTATGCCAGAAACATAAATGATAAGAATAATTAAAGAAAATAATCATGTTTAAACAGACGCTTACTGAAGTACACAGTGAGAAAAGTTCTTGGCGATAAGCCAATTCAAAGCATGCCATGATTTGTAAGTAATACACGCCGACTATTTCCTTACAGACGTTGCGATATACATTGAACGGAGGAATTAACCTCTAAAGGAAGCGTCAAGAAACGCTGTCAGTAGACATAAATCGGTAAACCACACGAAGTAGCATTGCACATCCGACTAGCAGAAATGCTACGGTTCCCTTCAATGAAATTCTCTCCAGTTAATATACCTAACGGTATAAGTATTTCCTATACTCTGTAAATGTTATACTTCATTATTCAGTCTATGTTGACTTTCTCAGATATTCTATTTTCCTTCTTTTTTGGGGGGAGCTGACATTTTCGAGTTTTACGTTATTGATAACTGGGGATACATGACATGTCATTTCTTGTTGTATGAATATATATATATATATATATATATATATATATATATATATATATATATATATATATATATATATATATGAACCATTTTAAATATATTACAATGTTTATGATTTTATTTTATCTCACTAGTTATCGTATAGATGTTCATTAAATCTTACTCGTGAGATATACGTCCTAAAAGTCACCGTTGTCGATAAGATTATGGAGACATCGCCTTGCATCAACAATGATCAGGTCTGAATTTATAATGTGGGAGTACAACTAATATTCTTTTATACTTCAGACAACTTCGCACATTCATTAGGGTGACCAGTGAATCAGATGTTGTTATGCCAATACAACGAGGCGGAAATATCCTTTTCCTACTCAATGCGTCACTTATATCATGTTCCCATCTTCGTGCTGGTCGGTCCCTGCCTCTCTTTCCTGGTGCCATGCCTTCGGCTATTATTCTTTCCAGTCCGCCGTGGCGCTTGATATGACCAAAATATGGAAGCCCTACACGCTAAATATATAAATTTATTTAGAAAAAAAAATTAATTAATAAAATGAAAAACAGCTTCTGACCTTGTTAAGTAGTTCTATTTCTTTCTGCAACTCAGCGATGCGTTGATCTTTGACGCTCACGGCTTGTTGAAGCTGGAGGTTTTCCTGTTTCTGGGTCTCAAGTTGCTGCAGATGACAATTTTTAATTAATTGTGTGTCGTTTCCACAACTGAGGTTGGCTGTAGCGTATTTGCTGCAGTCTTTGGTTATTAAAAAAAAAGAGCCCACCCACCTGAAAAAGTGAACTCTGGTTCGTCGAGAATGTTGAAACTGAGAAACGCATTCACTAAGCTCTAAGCTAAAGATGCGAACAGAATGAAAAAAAAATTAATCATGAATTCAAAAACCCAGTATGGTCAGACTAGAACTGTATGCTGACAAAGGTAAATTGATTCTTTCAATGAAAAACCCAAAATAAATGTCAGAAAAATTGGGCCTACAAACATTGCAGGTCGGCTTCTTGTCCGCGTGGATTATAGGCACAAAGGGAATGAGAACGCAAGCTTAGTTTGAAATTACACCAAATAGAGGAAGACAATGAGAGAAGTTTCTTGGCAGCCCTTTGTGATCGCTTGAAAGGGCGCTAACACATAAGTTGATACATGCTGTTGGAGATCGCGAGACATGGAAAAACACGACCACCTAGTTGGCAAAGCACTTGAGAGGAATCTCACGATGGCATGTTTAGGGTGATGCGTGAGGTTAGTTTTATCAAAATAAATATGGTAACAATGCCAGGATAAATATATTATGAAGCCACACTTAACCTTCCTCACCTGGATCTACACACCTGAGTAATGGGTTAATAATGAGCCGACACGCTGGCAAGTACTGCACAAGGAAGAAGCAGGGACAGAGCTGATATGGAGTAGGTTGGCAGATAATGATGAACCTCTGACGCTAATACGATTACATAACCTACTAGTAAAGTTTGGCGAAGCACGTCTTTGTCGTCTTCGAGCGCAAGACAAAAGACATTACAAACTTCCCAAGGGAACAGTCAGCAGAGGTACCATCTGTGGCTGCTGCATCGAAGGACTGAGCCCTCATGGGATGCCCAATGTGCAGTGACGTCATTTGTGATAACATAAGAAAGACTATTCCCACAGCTGTAAACCCCGGCAGAAACTTTTGGATATGCGTCCATTTCTGGACTTTGGTCTTATTCCAGAATGTAAGTTTTTTTTTTTTTTTACAGAGCAGGCTTATTTGTATTCAGACTATTGATTCCTCGCCTCTCTGCACTCCGACTTCTGAGGAAAAACGTTCGTTCGTTGGAAGAAAACAAAAAAGATAAGCTTTGTCCTTTTTTAACCGCCTGACAGCCTGTTTTATCAAGGACTGGTTATTTGCTATCTGAGCTTGTGTTTGTTTCTTTTGTGGCGATGATTTTCGCCTGAGTTTTGTTTCATTTGTTGCAACATGTCAGCGGCGTGGTCTTGGCGGGGGGCTTTCAGTTTTTGGGATTGGAAATGGCAGTCCTGAAAAGGACAGCCATATGTGCCTTGGCGGCTTGGAACGGGTAGGGAGACTGGTTGTTGATTCAGTCATGCCTGGCTGGTCAGTCTGGTTGGCTGTGCTTCCTCGCGTCAGAGAGGCTGGCTTGTTCCACGGGAACTGGGTGTCATGGCGGCTTGGTGGTTTCAATTGGCTGCTGACTCTGTCAATATTTGCGGAAACGTCTGTTTGGAGTTCCCTGGCTCCTTTGCTTCCATCTTGCTTCCCTCAACTTTATATTGGCTGTTTCTATCTCCTCGCAGAAGCCGCAGATTTTTCTGTAGAAGGCTTTCCTTTCCTCATCGGGTAGCAATTGTACTTTATCTTGCTCCTCTTGATCAAATGAGATACAATAGCGGTTCTTCTCGAGCTGAGGAAAACCTCCTAATTAGTCACATTTTATATCATATTTGTAAGAGGCACTAGATCTCAAACCCCTTCCCCCTCCCCCAATTAAATGGGCTCTGGAGCCCACACGATGAACATAAGGAGGTAGCATCCCAAAATATCTGGATTATTTTTATTTAAAAAATAACCCCCCCCCCCTTTTTTTTTGCCCCCGCCCCCTTCCACGAATTTCCTACAAAGGAAAGGTCTGTATCATCATCATCATCATCATCATCATCATCATCATCATCATCATCATCATTATGGTCGGTGTGCACTGTGCTGTGACGATTAAGTTAAGAGGAACAAATTGCGTGCCATTGCTCGAGGTGTAGCACTGGCTACTGTCATTCCGTGTCGATGTAGAAACAATCCACGTTTTTTAGTCATTGCAAATATAAGGTGGCGTTCTCGCTGTTTTTTGTTACAGGCATAACCTAATACATATACCCAATGAATCTGATTTATTAGTTTAGTCACTTCTATCTCATAGAGTTTTGGTTCAATTCCTTCAGATGGAAGTATTTACCCCTTTTGAGCTTAGCCGACCCGGGTGGAAGAGGTTAAAATAACAACTGCTTAGGACTGAAAGATTTAACATCAGTCCACATTCTCTTTGGAGGGATCTTTTGCTTCCAGGCCAGATTACGTTAGGTGTAGCGCCTGTTGTGGCTGTATTCTGTCAAGATCACCGAGCTATTTGATCTGCTTCTCAATGAATCTGGTGCTGGTGCTGGTGCTGTTCCCACAATATTGAAAGGATATGTAATGCTGAAGAAAACTGGCCAGCCCACATCATGGAATGTGGCCTACATTTTACACCCCTGTGACAGTAGCTCAGGGTGAATATTTTTAATTTTTATCAGGTGTTTTTACAAAAAGGATGTGTCTAGTGCCAAGCGTGTAAAAGGGAATCCTTTCCACACCTTCAGACTTACTGGCAGACCTACATTTTATAGACCAATCGGCACTTGGTGGGTTATATTGTCAGCACTACATGGTTGCTTTTACTTCCCAGGACTTTACCTGATCCTATTTAAGGGGGGGGGGGGGTCGACCTGGGAGTAAAGGTCATTTCTGAAAAAGTCTTGACTTCGTTCAGATTTGAACTCAGGGCCTTCGGATCCGCAGGTGAGCATCTAGTCTCTACACCAGTGCGGCTTTTTGTAAGAGTGCGTGTGTGTATATATATATATATATATATATATATATATATATATATATATATAGTGGTTGTCTTTTTCGTTGGTTCACCTCTGTGATTATAATGAATGCCACGCATCTCATAAGACTGTCGTTACATAGGAGGGGCTGAAGAGAGATGTTAGACAGTCTGGCGTTATGGCATGGCCTGATATCTTGTCAGAAAGGATGGACAAGCCACTCGACAGAAAGCTGTGGACTGATAGAATTGCCAGCGCCACCGGGAATGGACTGTAAAAAAAAGGTTCAGTTCACAAATTTAGGAAGACTATCAAACAAGCACAACATATTCACCGTTTGCGGAATGTGAATGCTCTTTAAAAGTAACAGTTTTAATTTACCTTCTCCAGCTGTACAATGGTGTCGCTCTGCTGCTGGAGGGAACCTGATGATGATGTATGAAATGTCCTAGGAGCCTGATACCCAGCAGCTGATGACAGAGGGGTCCCTAGATTACTGCGAGCGACGGCCCCATCTCTGCTGAACTTGAATGTACCAGAGACATGGTTTGGGCCGACAGGCTTGTCTTGCTGGCCGGATCCTGCGCTGGGATTAAACACAGAGAATCCTGCAGGTCTAGGCTTTGAGCTCTGGTTGCAGTCTACGGATATGCTGTTCAGCTTCCGCGCCAAACCCAACTCGGAGAAAGCAGCACTGCTTGTGTCTGTGATGCTGGATGGTCGAGAAGATGTCTCACAGTACCGAGTTAGTACTGATGGGGCTGCAGGAGTGGAAGTAATGTTTCTAAAAGAATCCACACCACTAGAGATTCTCCCATTCGCCACATTTCCTGCCTGACCAGATTCTGACGAATATTTAGACATGTATCCTCTAGCACCTGGCTTGCCACCCACTCCTCTGACAGAATCGAGTCGTCTACCTGTTGAAGTCTGGGGTTTCTCAAATGTCTCGGACTGGCCAGTCAATGTTAGGTTTGTTTCTGATTGTCTGATTATGCTGTCCGACTCTTGACTGTTCTCAAAATCAGCGTCAAGACCAGAGGGGCTGCAAAATAAGAATGTAACAACTGGTAATGCAGACAAATGGTGCAGTGTTTCGGCTGTGACAGTCTTTTGGGGTGCTGAAACTGGCCTTAAAGTACAGACCCCCCCCTACCCCCCCCCCCCCGATTTGTTAGAGGCTAAGCACCCTTTAATACTGTTCTCGGGGTTGGAGAGGGGCTTAGCCTCATGTTATGCTCCTAACCATGCATAGATGTTCTCTGTTTAAGTATATATACATGTATTTATACATTTCGTATTATTTTCTGTATATTCTTATATTTATTTAAAATTCAAGAATTAATAATAATAATAATAATAATTGTTGTTGTGCATTTTAAAAAGCTTGAGGCCCTCATATCTTCTTTTTTCTTCTTTTTCGACTTCTTCTTCTTTTCTTCTTCTTCTTCTTCTTCTTCTTCTTCTTCCTTCGCTCTCAGAAAGGCAGTTGGCATGCTATATTTTAGTTAGGCTGCTGTATCTGTGCTTTACGGCCCTATATATCAGTTCTCAACAAATCCTCAATTTGCATGTTAATAGGGTCGTAGGTCTATCCTCCCCCCCCCCCCCCCCCCCCAACACTTCTCCTCAGTAAGTCCTGGAACCAGCACCGACCATTACAGTTAAGACGTACCACAGACAGTCAAGACAGAAAAGGGCAGACAAGACATTACCAAAACTGCTATTGCCGCCTGTAATTACTACTTTTGTAGTCTAGGACCCAGGGGAGGGGAGGAAAGGGTGTCTTTGAGTCTCAATATTGAAGGTCCCGTTGGTAGTGAAGTCGTGACGGACGGTTTAGGGTGGGGTTTTATTTTTGCCCTCGACAGACAAGACAGATTGAGCATCAAATGATCATCCTGGTACTAAACACGACTCACCTTTTAATACGTTGTTGGCGATGTAAATGAAGATGAGACAGGTACCTGCCCTGGGAACACATACAGTTATCGTATGTAGATACAGTGATATTACCAAACAATAGGTTGTTTAGAACACAACTTACAAAAACTCACATATAAATACTGACATTACTGGGGTAAATCTGTTAATATTTTTTTAGGATCATCGTCTCATCATTATCATCAATATTATCATCAAGTTGTGCCGTTAAAAGGCACACAGACCTGTCCTCTACTAACACAGACATGTCCTCTACTAACATAGACATGTCCTCTACTAACATAGACATGTCCTCTACTAACATAGACCTGTCCTTTACTAACACAGTCCTGTCCTCTACTAACATAGACCTGTCCTCTACTAACACAGACCTGTCCTCTACTAACACAGACCTGTCCTCTACTAACACAGACCTGTCCTCTACTAACACAGACCTGTCCTCTACTAACATAGACCTGTCCTTTACTAACATAGACCTGTCCTCTACTAACACAGACCTGTCCTCTACTAACATAGACCTGTCCTTTACTAACACAGACCTGTCCTCTACTAACACAGACCTGTCCTCTACTAACACAGACCTGTCCTCTACTAACACAGACCTGTCCTCTACTAACATAGACCTGTCCTCTACTAACACAGACCTGTCCTCTACTAACACAGACATGTCCTCTACTAACATAGACATGTCCTCTACTAACATAGACCTGTCCTTTACTAACACAGACCTGTCCTCTACTAACACAGACCTGTCCTCTACTAACACAATCCAGTCCTCTACTAACACAGACCTGTCCTCTACTAACACAGACCTGTCCTCTACTAACACAATCCATTCCTCTACTAACACAATCCAGTCCTCTACTAACACAGACCTGTCCTCTACTAACACAATCCATTCCTCTACTAACACAATCCATTCCTCTACTAACACAATCCATTCCTCTACTAACACAATCCATTCCTCTACTAACACAATCCAGTCCTCTACTAACACAGACCTGTCCTCTACTAACACAATCCATTCCTCTACTAACACAGTCCTGTCCTCTACTAACACAGTCCTGTCCTCTACTAACACAGACCTGTCCTCTACTAACACAGACCTGTCCTCTACTAACACAGACCTGTCCTCTACTAACACAATCCAGTCCTCTACTAACACAGACCTGTCCTCTACTAACACAATCCAGTCCTCTACTAACACAGACCTGTGCTCTACTAACACAGACCTGTCCTTTACTAACACAATCCAGTCCTCTACTAACACAGACCTGTGCTCTACTAACACAATCCATTCCTCTACTAACACAATCCAGTCCTCTACTAACACAGACCTGTCCTCTACTAACACAGACCTGTCCTCTACTAACACAATCCATTCCTCTACTAACACAATCCAGTCCTCTACTAACACAGACCTGTCCTCTACTAACACAGACCTGTCCTCTACTAACACAGACCTGTCCTCTGTTAACACAGACCTGTGCTCTACTAACACAATCCAGTCCTCTACTAACACAGACCTGTGCTCTACTAACACAATCCAGTCCTCTACTAACACAGACCAGTCCTCTACTAACACAGACCTGTCCTTTACTAACACAGTCCTGTCCTCTACTAACACAATCCAGTCTTCTACTAACACAGTCCCGTCAACAAATTCGACAAACCTGAACAAGCTTTTCACAACGAACAAATGTGTGGATGATGCGACATAAATCAGATGAGGCAAACAACAGACAGGATGTACACACATGACATAGACACCGACCAGACAGAAGAAACACCTGTGGATGACATCAGCACTGGAGAATGTACTCCAGGAATATTTACACACACAACCAGTGCTACCACTGCTGTCAACCCCCCCCCCCCCGCCCCCTTTCCACATACACACTTACTACACAGCTCAAATTCTGGCCTGCTCGTTAAAATTCAATAGCTTAGTAATCTCCAACAATGCCTAAAATGGGGGATTATCGGGTTGTAACTTTCAAGCATGAGTAATCAGTAAAGAGCGGTTGATAGATTTTGTCAAATAATCGTTAAGTTATTTACAGACAAGATTGTACATTTATACAAATATGTTTATAGATAGACAGACGTGTACACAGAGTTTAGTCAGATATGTTCTTGTACAAATGTGTACCCAGCCTTTACGGATATGTTCAGATATGTCTACACGTTTATACGGCTTTCAATGAAATATGGAAATATGTTGGGCAAGACTGGTGCTTTTGCCTTGACTACAAGTAGTTTGACAATGGAGGCCATCAGTTCTCGCTACGCCTAGTGGCACATGAGGCTTCAGAGAGGACATTCCATGCTTTCCTGTCCTGTGCAATCTTCAGTGCAGTTTTCCATATCAAAGATGCCGCACTCAGGTCACTTTCCATCGTTCGTCTTCATGTTGTTTTTGGGCGCCCCTGTTTTCTCTTTCCCTCTGGTGTCCATGTGAGAGCAGTTTTGGCGGGTATATAGGGATTCATTCTCATAACATGGCCAAGCCATTTCCATCTTCTCTTGGTTATCATACTGTCTAAAGTTTCTTGGTTTGTGACTTTAAGTAGTTTAGTGTTTGAGATTGTATCTGGCCAGAAAATTTTGATAATTCTACGTAGACATGTGTGGTGTAAGGTGGACAGCTTGTGTGCATCCTTTTTGTTCATTCTCCAGCATTCCGCTCCATGAAGAAGAACTGGCAAAATAATGCTCTTGTAGAGTCGGAGTTTTCTTCCTCTGTAGTAATTGTTGGATTTCCAGATTTGCCTCATCCTTCCGAAAGCAGCTCTAGCTTTGTTCAGACGTGACTGTATGTCCTTTCTGTCCCTCCCGGCAGGGACACCACACTGCCAAGATATGTGAAATGTTCTGCATTTTCAAGAGTTTGGTTATTTGTGGTCACTGGTTGTTGGTTTGGACTGCTTGTCATCATCTTAGTTTTCTTTGTATTTATTCTCAGTCCCACCATTTCTGCTGTGCTGTGTAGTCTTTTACTTTTTTCTTGTATATGTTCATGTTTATGTGATAGGAGTGCTATATCATCTGCAAAATCAAGATCATCAAGCATGGTGAATGGAGTCCATCGTATGCCTCTCAATGTCCTGTCTACTGTGTTC